TTTTTTATTGTTGTTGCTGCTGTTGTAGCAGCTACTTGGTGTCTACACAAAATCCTGCAGTTACAATGCATTTATTGAAGATACAAACTAAAAGATACAACACTTCGCTGTCAAATCGATGCAACAGACGCGAAGTCTGGTAGAGAGGCGAAGTTGGTTGTTGGTCGTTTGTCGTTAGTTGTGGCAGCAGTCAGCGTAGTTTGTTAAAAGTTTACGGGCTGACTACAATAGGGGCAACAGCGGTTTTCGGCTAACAGGAATTACTAACAAAAGGCCAAGAAAGCGGGTAAAAAATGATAGGAACATTTTGTGTGTCTGGCTATTGGTTGATTGAGGTGAAAATGTGCGCTGTTAGCTGAGTATGTAAAAGGTGCCTTTCAATGTTGGCTGAGCATACAAGTCACTCACTTATTCCTTGGTGTTGCTTAGTCTAATATGTTTGTAGATGCGCTATGTTCGCTTTATGGTGGTTACTGTTAGTAGGTGGTCACCTCTTCTTGATATCGTTGATATTCGTATGAACTTGTCTGTTATTGTTCTTGCAAGCGTTGTATTAGACCAGGGCCGGCGAACCTTCATACATACAAGTGTCATAATTTCCGAAGAATCATCCAATGCAGCCTTGACGTGCCAAAAAGAAGCCACGTCGTGTCATCGTTCTTGGAGACATTGGTTGACACTAAGTCGTGAAAAAAATACGAATTAAGTGTCACTTAAATGTCGCTGTGTATCTCGTGTGCATACGCCATCTTCAGCAGACACCTAATATGTCTGGAATTAAATTCAAAGTTTCCAATTTTTTATTATTAGAATATGTAAACAAGTGCAGTTTATCAAGTGAAGTCACATCAGGTTACATAATAATATTGAGTGTTTCCGATAACTCCGTGAATTCAGAAAACTTCGATGAAAATTCGTCGATGAGAAAATTTATTACCAAAGAAAACTCTTCAGTGATTCTTGATCTGTCTGGTTTTTTCATCTAAATTCAAATTTGTTTTTAAATTTGTTAATTTTGGCAAACATTTGTAATTTTTGGAAACAATGGGATGCCCCATACTTATCAATGTAATATCTGTAAAAAAGGTGCTACTAAATTTAGAGTCGACTTTATTTCGACTATGGATATGCCTCAATATCTTTACCAATCTTTTTCAGTTTAGCATAACAAGCGCGAATGAGATCTATACATAATTATAATAGTTTTATTATAGCCTTGAAGCTTTGCGTTCAAATACTTGAAATGCTTGCGTATATCCGTAAAAACCATCAATTTTACAAACCACGTATAAGTCTCAAACTTTCGTTTATTTAATGCCTGTGAAGATATGAGGTTAATTATTTTTGAGAACTACGCCCAAGGATGGCGAAACCATGCTTTGCGCACAAAGCTCATTGACGAATTATGCAATAGAACTCAAGAATCGAATGTCTTATGTGGATTTTGTGGGTTACTGTCTGTATTTTTATCTCTTCTGACCTGTTTTCTTGGCTGTGAGCAGATCTTGCTTTGATCTCCAATTTAACGAAAAAATGAAATTGTGTCGATTGGAATTGGGTTGAATTTTTCCGTGATGGGCTTCGGAAATCAAGTTGAGTGCATGACAAAGGTGATTCGAGAGAAATACTTAGATGTTTTCTGCGATGTTCTTTTTTTCTGAGTAAGAAATTTGGTTTGTTTTTAGTCTGAGCATATATGTAAGTTCTTCTTTTTGGCTCCAAGAACCCAGAAATTATTTTTGAGATCTCGGTAGGTAGTATTGAGCATCCACTCCGCTTGTTCTCTTGAATTTTCGCCGTGTCTATCCTAAATTGCTAACCTTAATATTTTTTTATATTCATTTCATTGCCTTCGGATGCACTAATTGAATAAGTATTTTTTACATGTCAGCCGCAAGCAACTATTCGATATGTATTTTCTTCGTTTCATTCAAGTTATAATTCACTTAATCAATCACTTTCCACCTACCTCAAACATTTTTATGTCTCTATTTCCTTTCATGTTTTCGTTTCCTTTGTCTCGACAGTCCCATAATTTTCCAAATATTTTTGAAAATGTTTTCCATACCACGCCATCATTTCCTACATAGCGATATTGACGTGCTTAGCCATAGCTATCAATGCGCTTTGATTTGTGCTACCCGTGTTTCAAGGGGTACAAAATACCTCACCTACCTTTGTAGAAGGCGCGTACTCATGCATATTGTGCGGCAAAGAAGTTGGGGAAGCTGCTATAGATTTATGTATTTATTATGCATATGTAGTACAAGTACAACTTATGCAACACGTAGACAAGTTTTTAACGAAATTGGTAGGGGAAGGAGAGAGGAGATTAGATGCTTTATATATTAAGACCCTTAATGTACAAAATTCACACCAAATGAAACTTATACATACGTCTCTCAATTATGTGGCAACGACAAAATCCATTCCACTGATATTTTTAGAAAATTTGTGCTGCATTGTCTGACTTGAAACCCGCGACCGACTGGTATTAATATAGCCATCAATTCCGTCCCGACTTTCTCTGTTTTATTGTCTTTTTTAGGAAAATGACTAGTCTTTTACTGGTTTAGTCTTCTTCGGCCTACTTCGGTATTTCGCGCCGTGACAACGGTAGCTGTGTCGTTTACGTGTTCCAAATGATCAACAGCATCTGACATCTCCCATGTGTTTAACTAGGGTCGCCAGATTGGATTTTTCGCCCTGAGACTCAAGGGTCTCGGATCGAATATCGAGGCTCAGGGTTTGTGACCAAATTCTCGGGGTTTGAGAAAAATTCTCAGGTATGTTTATCTAGTTAATTTTGAGTCTTTAGCCCAGGAAAGTCATGCTTCGTCTAATGTTTTCACATAGGCTGTGACCTTCCATGGTTGATTTAAAGCTTTGTTAAGAAATATTAACAAAAACCAAAAAAAGTGAAGATTAATAATTCTATTTCTCAATTTCGGGTTCTGGGCATCTGAAAAGGTATGTTTAACCTTTGAACAGTATTATTAATTCTACCCCTATAGTGGTAAACCGGCAAATGGTTGTAGTGGCAAATAAGAAGAAGAATGGTAAGCTTCGCGGAAATGGCGGAGCCTATAGATATTTCATTCACGAAACATAACCCTTACTTCATTCATATCAGGTATTTCTGGAACAACAACAACTACTTATATACATAATTTATGCCACAAACAAAAACATACCCAATGAATAGAAAACCAAACAGACAAATTGATTAGTTGTTTCGACTAATGTTTACCATTCTAGCGTTAAGCTTTTCACGATTTCACCTATTATAATCGTCTACTTTGCGCTGTTGAATGCGTTTAATACGTCTAGAGTTGCAAAACGCTCCTTATATAAACGCTCTATATATATAATACGATCTATACCTTTCGCCGGATTTTCAATAATGAGATGTCAAATTAAAGCTCTCACTCTGTAGATGTGCAAACTGATTTTAGTTTTTCGAGAAGAGTTGCCACCTGTTGAAAAATTAAATACAAATTATTTAATAATCAATGCCATCAAGCGTTAACCGAAAAGCCTTCGACTGCAGATGTGCAATAAGGTTTTACTTTTTTGAAAAGAGTTGCCACCTTTTAACAAATTATATTCAAGTTATTTAAAAAAATATATCAATTATTACAAAGTGCCAAACGAAAGGGGTTTTAGGAAGTAGTAGTTTGAAAATATTTTTAAGAGGGTTACAACCTGCTTGAAATGTCGAATTTAGTTAACTTATTTATACACAAGTTATTCGAAATATCAAAATATGGATGTCAAACGAAGGAGTGTTAGGAAATCTTTGGTTTGAACGCTAAGGATATTTTTGAGATGTTGGGAGAAGGTTGCCACCTGTTTAAAAAGTTAAATTCAAATTATTTTATAATTAAAATGAATTATTTAAATATGGGTATCAATCGAAAGGGGCTTGCAAAAATTTTATTTCTGGGGGTTTGTAGCGGGGTTGCCACATGTTTGAAAATTAAAATTCCACTTAATTCATCAGTTAATAAAAATATCTATCGCAGTGTTCGACAAAGGAGAGTTAACAATGATTAAGCTTGAAAATAGTTTTGAAGAGAGCTGCCACCTTTTGAAAGATCTAACTCAATTAACTAATTCAAAAAGTATATGAAATAAAAAAATACCGTAGTCAAACGAAAGAATGTTAAGAAATCGTTAGTTTGAACATTTCGAATGTCTGAAGAGAGTTGCCACGTGTTTAAAAAGTTACATACAAATTATTCATTAAGTTGGATGAATTATTAAAAGATGGGGATAAATCGAAATGGGTTCGAAAGGTATTTCTGACCTTTACTTAGGAGAGTTGCCATTTGTTCGAACAATCAAACTCGAATTAGTTCATCAGTTCATTATTCAAAGAACGTAAATCTATAAGAGACAACACGTTATAATTGTAGCTAGTGTGAACATCAAAAGCGTGGGCAAAAGAGAAGGAACGCTCCTGATGTTCACACTCGCTACAATTATAACGTGTTGTCTCTTATAGATTTACGTTCTTTGGCTCATTGAAATACGTGTGTATCACAATGTCTGACGAAAGAGATTTAAGAAAATCTCAGTTTGAGAATACTTTTGAAAAGGAATTTAAAAAATGGGAGGTCAAATTATACACCTTAGCCTGTAGATTTATGATCAAGTTTTATTTTTTAAATTAAGAACTTTTTTCGTCGGTATAGGGTATTTGAAATTCGATGAAAATAAAAACATGCACTAGGCAAGACTGCTCTTCACTCAGAAACGGCTGCACGGTTTTGATGAAATATGGCACTCGGATCCCTTATAACTGTAACTAACATTTGGGATATTTTAAAAGGTTTTTAAAATTCAATTTTGGGCATTTTAACGCCGTGGGAGTTCACTAGTTAAAATTTATTTTATAAAAAAACATAACTTCTGAGCCTCTTCTTCTTTAGCAATATACATATGTACATATATTTCAGTTTTTCTTTTGCTGAAGTTCAAAGAAAAATTCTCTTCTATCTTTTTTTAAATATCGTTTTATTTATTTCTCTTCTGCGCAGTCGCATGTTCACATGTATATGTATATGTATTCTAGCCATTACAAAGTATAATTTTGAAAGTATAGCATATTTTGCATGCTCAGTATACTTTCTTGAAAGTACAGTAATTTTAATCACGAGCTGTTCTAAAAAACTGTGTACAAAGTTTCAAAACTACATATAGTCGTATTATTTATCAGATTATTCAAATTAAATAATGTCAGTACTCATTTAAGTTATAATTTTTCTTAGTGTATTTCAAATAGTTATTCATAGTCTTATTTACGCTATATTGAATAGTTGCGTCATCTCAGTCTTGCCTCTACTTGCATTTCCTTTTGAAGGTTTCGAATTACCGCAATAGTCGTTTAAGTTGATTTAATCGAATATGTTTCAAGTCACAAACCTTTGAAAATACAAAGTACCGCTCAAGTTAGAAAAAGATACTTAAATTTCGCATTACTTTGATATACCCTTTTTACGCTAAAGTTAAATGCTATAGTGTATGCCATAGTAAGTAGTCATCAGCCGTTTTCTGTTAAATCTAGCGAATTTTAGATACTATCGGCAAATCCGTTCGCTATGCGTACTCGCTTTTTTGAGTCGAATACTTTTCGATTACTGTACCCATAGTATCCTACATATGAATATAAGTGAACCTTTCACGATTTCTGCAGAATTTTTTTTTTGCGTAAAGTATCTTTTATATCCCCCAGGATCATTTCCATTGATTTATTTTACTTTCTTACTTATATGTAAATCTAACGTCTCCTATTATTAAGAACTTTAATTTCTTATTTTTATCTTGCCCTTTTCTTCTTCCTCTTTCATTTACCCTGCAACACCTCGCATTCAGTTAGCTGCCGGCTCAGTGCCATGCACATGCAGTATCATCTCAAAGGGATCCCATTCTAAATCCGACTCGGCCTTTACACGACCGCCACCGGAACTGATCCCACGGCGTCCCATACTCGTGACACCAGCGCCGACTAAGCTGCTTGCTTGATGCAAAGGCACCATGCCCACCACTCCACCGTCTTCATACACGCCTGAAGTGGCGCCCAACATGCTCATAGGTGGCGGCATACCCAGACGCATGTAACGCATATGTTGTGCTGCCGCTGACTGCAGCTGCTGATGTTCGCTGACGATTTCTTGTATCTGTTCACGAGTTTGTTCACGCTCGTCCACCTTCTTGATGAGTATGTCACGCATGAAGTCCATGCGTTCAAAGTGCTCCCAAGTGGAGTGGAACGACTGTTGAGTGAAGTGAGCGCGACGCTCTTTCTGCAATTCATCCACATAGCGCTGCTTGATAATGGACCAACGTGTTTGTACGAGACCTGTTGAGTAGGGAGAGAAAGAGAGAGGGAGAAAATGGGCACATATTCACCAGAAAAGAAAAGTTAGTAAACTTGGTTTCAAATAACCACGAGATCCCAGCCACATTTTACACGTTCACCCCACTACTTACTTGCCGTCAGTCCCAACTCAGCCGCTACTTCCTTCCACACCGCCGACGTACGATTTTGCGCCTTTCGCTGCCCTGGCACAGCCTCTTGCTGTCGGCCCGCCCACAAAGGTGGATGCGCTTTGATCACGTCAATAATACGTCCGCGCATGCTGTTGTTCATCGATCCAGGGCGTCCCGGCTTGCGCATTGGTGTCGTAGTAGCCTCTACCGTTATAGCCGCTGGTGGCACAAGCCCGGTGAAACCAATAAAGGGGCTCGTCTCAACACTGATCTCAGTCTGAGGTGTTAGTGGCGTCGAAGTGAGCAATGATTGGGGTATACCGCCAAGTGACGTCAGCTGTTCATGCATTTCTTGTTGTGGCAAAGGTGTCTGGACCAACTGCTGTTGTAGTTGCTGCTCTTGTTGCTGCTGCGTTTGTAGTTGTGGCGGTTGCGGTAGCCATGTAAAGCTACCACTTGGTCGTCCGCGCCCTTGCGTTTGTGGTGTGGTTGGCGTAGGTGGTGGCGTCGGGAGTGACACTGCAGTCGGGGACTGCAAGTGCTGTTGGCTGCCATCATTGGCCGCACCAGCAGCACCTACTATCTTTGCCACAGTGATGTTATACATGAAAGACATCGGTTCAAAATGCTCCCATTTAGTGGTGAAACGTTCCTTGTGCAGGATCTGGCGATGCACAAGATTGTGGTAGTGGTACTTCATTTGACTCCAGATGGACTGCAGTTTAACTGTTAGAGAAGAGGAATATGGAATGTTTTTGTTAGGGAGGCAAGTTATCAGTATACCACAACGCCTGAGAAAGGCTCCAGGAGGCAGACAATGAGGACTGTGATTACAATGCATTCTCAGGAAGTAGAAAGCTGGACCCTTCTAAGTAATTTCTATATTCTAAAACCAGGCATGGCGAGCCCAAGAGGTTTAAAGTAAAATTAACGCACATCACATTCGCTTGGCGCTCCAAATCCTGAAAAGTGCGATACTTTGCAGAAATTTACGATTTGTGACTAGGGATGAAACGATATCATGTGGGTATCGATACTTTTACTTGGAGGTAGTATCGAGAAAAAGTATCGATGCATGAAAATTATCGGAGCTAAAGTATCGATACCTACTCGTATCGGTAATCATTGGGTACTCCGTATTAAGTTAAATTTATTTTTTAAATCAGAAGTTAATCATCCTCTGGGAGTCCTAACCTCCGAATAATAAAATCTAATAATGTAAGAACTGAAAATAAATAAAACTCCGTCACATAGCAGAACCATATGTTTAATGATGAATGGTATTTACACAGATACATATATGTACATTAGAAAAGATTACAAGTTAATCTTATTTAAGAAAACATTTATTAATAAAATATTTCAGCGAAAAAATTATTTTCTTGTACTTCCCAAGGGTAGAAGTTTTTCCAAATGTTTGCCAGTCAACCGATTTTTTGACGGAGTTATTGTTGCTCCTGCTTTCGATGTTGCAACTATATGTAAATATGATCGTGCTTGTATATACGACAAAGGAAACGCAGTTTTAAGATCCTCCCATGGGTTCGACTTCAGGAAGGATACTGGGATGGATAAAAAAAACCATTTTGAATTTTGAAATGCTGACATCAGATTCATAATCAAAAAGCTCAGAAACCCACTGGAAACGAGTTTTAACCCTTGACAATGCTTAAAACGTTCAGTATCAACGTTTTAGTTTTAGTACTTTTCTTTTTCATTTGATCGCCATATTGGATCCGCCATTTTGAGTTTAAAAAAATTTACTTCAGATTCGTAATAGGCGACCCTAAAAACTCTCGAGTGCCGGGTGTCGAATAAATACAATCATTTTTTTTAATGGATCGCCATTTTGGATCCGCCATTTTGAATTTCGAAAAACTGACTTCAGATTCCTAATTAGCGACCCCAGCAACCCCCTAGTAACAAGTTCCAACCCATGACAATGCTTAAATCGTTCAGTATCAACGTTTTAATTTTACTAGTCTCTTTTCGAGAGCATATTTTCGGGCACCACAGTAATTATATGTAAAAACCACATTTTTAGCTGCACTATAATATGTCAAGAAAAAAAAAAAAAAATTTAGAACATCAGTGTTTTTATAAAAAACCGATCAGCGCGACCTCTAAGAAAACTTTTTTTTTTCAAAATAAAGAAACACGTTTTTCTTTTTTTATCACAAATAACAATAATTTGAGGTAGAGTTTATGGATTTCCAAAAAAAAATTTTTTGAACCACTCTAGTACTTATTTTTCGATACCAATTCAGTACTTTGTTCAAAAGTATCGATGCCAAAATTACATGGTATCGAACGAAAAGTATCGAGTATATACTTGTATTTACTCGTATCGTTTCATCCCTATTTATGACCTGCTGGTCTGCTTAAAAAGAGTCGAGCTGTAGTAGTTCTTGCGTGATATCTTTATAGCATCGCTCTCATCATTAAGAGGCATGCACTCTCTCTCTCTCTATTTCTAAACGGATCGGCTCAAGAGGGTTCGTAGTGTTAAGGGCAAGTGCTTCTTGAGTAGAAATGAGTGACAATCTGTCTACATGCTTACAAATCACGCGAGCCTCTTAAATGAGAATAACTAAGTAAGGAGTAGAACTCCTCTAAAGACTTTTCAGGCGTCCACCGCTTTACAGGCTTCCAGCACTGTATTAAGCTTTAGGTTTGGTATTGCGGAGTGAGCGCTGAAAGCCATTACGCCGAAAAGGCTTGGTTTGGAGTTCCACACTAGGAAACAGGTTTGATAGGAATATTCTGGAAGGACGATAGAAAGACCCAAGGGATGGTCTGCATAAATCTGTTCCACCTCTCGTATTTTCCTGTTCTTTAGAACTGGCCAAGATAAGATGTTCAGGATCATTGATTTGCCGAAAGAGTACTATGTATAAGCCAAATAAACCAAGTAAATATGTACGAATGGCGTGGGGCCACACTTTGTAATGGAACCTTCCTATAAACTTCCTTTTTCGATAACCTGATCACTGTGGCTTCACCGATGTTGTAGTTTCATCTACACTGGAAGCTCTGAGTGGCTTCGAATCGAATCGGAGATACTTAGGTTATTATTTTCCTCGTTTTACTCAGTGCCCAGATGGATGAGCAGAGCAGACTTTCTCTTACTTGCATCCTAGGTCGCATGAGTACAAATACATATGTATAAGAGACTATATAACAGCTTAGTTTTTTTTAAAGTAAATTACTACCAAGCAGAGTATTTCTGGTAAGAAAAGTAGAGTGATATGCCATACACATATCACTGTATTTTACAAAAAAAAGGGGCCTAGATAAAACATGCAAAAAGTTGGATCCGATAGTCCTTCCGAAAAAATAATGTAGAAGCCTATTCGATATAGGAAGTGACTCAAATATTGGGGACGTCAAATGTTCCACTTCCACTAACCGTATGCCTACTCTATACGTATGTATACATTAGACTGCATCACTCCCCAAACAAAAAAAAAACTGGTACTGTGTTTCCATTGGAATTTTAAAATCTATTATATTTTAAGCCGTCCACCAAAATATTTCGGAAAAATATTAAGATTTACGTGAGCTGGACCGATTTGAAAATACCTCCAAAAATGGAGTTTTTTATGAATAAAAGTTTTTATGAATACAATGACAAAACGGTCTAAGCTTTAAAAATTTGCATAAAAATGTTTTTAAAAAATTAAAAAAAATTTTCAACAGAATCTTAATAATGAGATTTTTGATGCTGCTTTTAAACTTTTTTCAAAGATTGAGATAAGAAAAACTTGAATAACTGAACCTAAACTCTTCCGAGTTAAACTTGTGAGGTATCATTGGAAAAATATTTTCTCACCCATTTGATTTATTTGCTAATGAACTCATTTAAAGGATGAAAGGAAAAGGTAGGATGAACGAACATCATTCAAAGTTGAATTAAGTTGTGTTGGTATTTGAAATTTTAAAAAATTCTGACACGATTGACTTTTTGTTGCAGAGAAAAAAAAAAAACACAGTGATCGTCCAGTATAACGAATGATATAATGTCTGTGTTCATACGCTATATCGAGAAGTACGTTGTATCGAACTAAAATTTTATTATGAGAATTCAATAAAATCAGTCTATACATATGTACATATATTACATATGAGCCCCATATTTCAAATTCCCTTAAGTGTTTTTTTTTTTAATTGTTTTACCCAATAAAGGAATTTTTCCAGTTCAATAAACGCGACCACTTATAAGAAGTTATACTTTTGAACAGATGGTAATTCTACGTACGAAAAAATCATGTCATTCAAGCATACAAAGTAAACAAGCGTTCGTTATATAGAATACTCCTTTTTTCAACCGTTCGTTGTTTAGAGTAATCAATGCTTTTAAAATAGGCATTCGTTGTTTGGAGCGTTCGTTATATAGGCATTCGTTATACTGGACACTGTACTGGGAAAATACCTTTCTACTGAGATCCCATAAGTCTAAGTCAGAATAGTTTTGGCCCAGTTATTCAAGTTTTTCGTAAATAAATCTTTGAAAAAAAGTAAAAAAATACATCATCAAAAATCTCATTATTACGATTCCGTTAAAAAGGATTTTAAATATTTTTATGCAGATTTTTTAAGCTTAATTTGTTTTGTCATCTGAGAAGACTTTTTTCAAAAAGTTCTCTAAGAAACTATTTTTATTCATAAAAAACTCCATTTTTTGGAGGTATTTTCAAATTGGTGCAGCTCACGTAAATCTTAATATTTTTCCAAAATATTTTGGTGGACGTCTAAAAAAATATAAAACATATTGTAAACCCGGAGGAAACACCACAAGTTTTTTTGGTAATGCAGTCTAGTATACATACTATGTAAATGTTTAGCAACAACTATTAACTAAGAAGTAAGAAATTCATAAAAAAGCAATCGTGTTATCTCTGTCTCACCTGTTGGAACGTGCCCGCCAAACTGTTCGGCTATCTCGTTCCACATGGGCGCGGTGACGCTACGGCACATATGCAGCTTATTATTCGAATCCCATATCTCTGGATACTTTTTGATAGCTTTTAGCAATTGGGCGCGATTTACGAATGGATCTTCTTTCGGCATTGCTGCGGCAGAGGCTGGCGGCGATAAAAATGAGCGGTGACGAAAGCAGACTTGCTTGCCGATTGCCGACGACGACAGTAAAAAGGGCGTTGAATAAACGAGTGCGCGCACGCGTAATGTTGTGATATTGTACGTGTGTGTGTGTACGTGTGACGGTTTATCGATAAAAAGTATGGTAACAATGCAAGGCAAAAACCGTTATTCACACAAAAAGTAATGGCAAACAAATACAAAAACAATAAATAAGTATGGCGTTAGCAGCAGCAACGACACTTGAAGCAGCGCGAAAGTACGGCAAAGATGGAAATTAGAAATCACTGAACCCGGAACTGACTTTGCAACAATTAGTTTATTACTGAAATCCTTGTTAATTATACGCGCCGTATGACCGACGCCGTAACGCGTCCTTTGACATCAATTATCGGCGAATAACTGAATGCAGAGAGCGCGCGAGAATATAGTACGAATATGAATGCGAAAAGGCATCCAACGATTGGGGAAAATAGAGAACATCGACAACAGACATCGTACAAAAGCGTCTCAATTGCAATAAAAACAACAACAACAACAGCAGCGGCAGCGGCAGCGACAACAATAGTCAAAGTATTTTGAGCAGAAGCAAAAACACAGCAAAGCGTGCGAGCAAAAAATCGAAAAATGAAATAAGAAAAAAAGAAGAAAAAGAAAAAACCAAAAGCAACAGCCAACAGCCGACAGACAGCAGCAAACAAAACCATAGCAAAGTGAAGCAAATCGCAATGCAAACGCCGCCAGCGGAGCCAACGTTCAAAAGAGTTGGTAATTCCGCATAAGAAGGGGCCTGAAAGAGGCAACTAAAGCAAAGCGCAAACAACGCATAGCAGCGATGGCAAAAACAAAAGGCAGTTAGTTACATGCACAGGCTGTTGGGGAAGAAACACCATCGGGCAACTGAGGAGGTGCAGAGCAAATTCCATATATAGTAACGGCGGCGAACACGAACAGTGGGTCGAGATGATAAACTGATTAGGTGAGAAGATAATAAATTTAGCGGAAGAGTTTGGAATACGAAACAAGCAAATGAAGTCGAATGGATGGGTAATGCAGAAAATGGAAAGTATTGGAAGAAAAATTTTTAAATTGAATGAAGGGAAATAAAATAGTAACGAAACAAGTGGAGAAAACGAAATAGAAAGGCAAGAAATGGAATAAAACAGTGGTCGGCATTCTAACACATTCAAACGATTCAATAAGTGAGACTGTGTACTTTAAATGCACTACTAAGCAGTGTTGCCGCGAATCATTTTTAGTGGTAGCCAAATTCCTTTTAAAAAAGGGCTAAACAAAATTCTTTGTGGCTAAAAATGGTAGCCTTAGCATTTTACTTACATACGCATATCTAAGTACATATATACGCAATCATTTTCAATAAGTAATGGTATAGAAAAACAATGTACTCTGGAAAAAAACTAATATTTTATCCAACCAAAAACTTTTTTGTGTAAACGACACTAGCTTGCTGGCTCCATCAAATGATTGTAACATCAGGATCGAAGCTTGTAACTTTCCAGCATGCTGGTACAATATATATTTCTTTACAAATAAGGTCAAGGAATGACCGAAATGATTAGAGCCGAAATTTAATAATTTGTCTACCATTTTTTATTTTTTTTTTTATTCACAACCGCAATATCGTGAACTTTAGTCTTCCACAAACCCGGCTTTGACTCACATAGTGCAAGAAATTTCCGCAAAAATACTTTTTACTTAGAAAAATTAGCTAATTTCACCATTCACGACACAAGCATGCTGGTGCAATCATAAGATTTTCAAATAGTCTTTTAAGTCACACCAGCAGCTAGTACAATCACACCACAAGAACATACACGGTCAATCGACTTGATGGGCCATTTAACAAATTAAGCATATTAAGGGCCGTAAACTTATGCGTTTTAAACTATATTTAAATCGTTAAAAGATAAGTTAACGGACCTAACGCTTTTATAGTATGTATTTATAAAAATGTAAGGAACATACAAACATATATGTATATATATATATATATCAGTATCTCTTAGTTTAAAAATTCATCTCTTACATAAATTAAAAAAATTAGATTAAATGAAGCATATACAACTTTTTCATGCCAAGGATGAATAAATTCGCCAAAGGGCTAAAAAAGGGCCAGGGGCAATTTTAAATTTATGTTGCCAAAAAAAGTATGTGGTAGCTAAATCTAGCCACCAAAGGGCTAAAACGGCAACACTGCTGCTAAGCTTCCGCTCTTCGTATACGTGTGAAACACACATGTGCTCATAAAGCGCTCAGGGAGCTATGGCCTGCCGATCACTGGAATAAATTGATCTAGAAGAGATTGTAACAGAGTGAAATGAGAGGAAGCCGAATAAAGTTAAGGATAGTGAAATAATGTAAAGTCAAAGTGACTTGAAATTAAATGAATGAATTAATTGAATGAAAGGAAATTAAACCGTTATCGAAGAAGTAGAGAAAACGAAGATGAAAGGAATGAAATGAACTGGAAGGGAATGAAAGAGGCTTGAATGAGAGAAAGTTGAGGGAGAGTTAAATAAAGTGACTTGAAATTAAATCAAGTGTACTGATATGAGAGGACTCATCTTAGATCAAATCAACTGAGAGGTGATGGAATAAACTGGCCTGAAAAGAAAGTAGGGAAATAAAAGTGATGTAAAGTGGCGTGAAATAAAATGAAATGGAATGAGAAGAAGCTCAGTAATATGAGCTAAAATAAAGTTGAAATTAAATAAACTAAAATAAAACGAGACAAGAGAAATTAGAATAAAATTAGTTAAAATGGAATGTGAAAAAATTACGTTAAATAAATAAGTGAAATGCAATAATAAACAAGTAAGAAAGTCTAAGTTCGGGCGGAGCCGAACATTAAATACC